ACCAAGCTGTTGTTACAGACATAATTATTTAATGCTGTTATGTGATGGGGATTATGAGGAACTTTTAGCAGGTAAGAATAGGCCAATTGAAGGTGATGTTTCTTCTTGATAGCCTTAGGTTCCCCAAATATTCTTTTATTGGGTCATTTAATTGAGATCCAGAATGGGCTGAAAGCACAATTGCAAAAGACCAGAGTTGAGGTGAATTCCAAATACTGACTTGAAAAACATAATACATTTTGCATCAAGCTACCTGGTATAGTCAATATAAGTATCATAAAATACTCATGATTCAAGTTAGTAACAATAAAATCAAAAGCATGAAAAGCCAATTCATGTTGTCCTTGTAAAAGGACCGGCTCTTTGGGTCTTGGATTTTGCATCTCACCTTTAAATGGATGATTTTGCATCTGACCCTTGAAACCCATAGGGTGCACTGGGGGCAAGCCTTCCACTCTTTCAGTCCCACTGTTCTTTCACGTCTAAGATACAACGTCTAGAAGGACATTTCTCCATCATCTCTGGGCTTTTCTATTTTTTATTTTTTTTAAATGGTAAGCCCCAGTGATGAATTGGCTTCAGTAGAATTCAGGAACTGCAATGCATGGTGTTCATTTCACTGGGCAAGTGATGATAAATTTTAAGTGAGAGCAATAGGAACTAAGCTCAAAGAGCAGGAAGAAATTTAGGTTAAATAGAAAGAGAAATTCTGTAGAGAAGTTGTATCAGTGAAGGTTCCAGCAGGAGACAAACGACACAATAAAATTATAACTTGACAAGAGGCTAATAAAGGGTCTGTTCACAAAAGTACTTGCAGGGCGTAGGGAGCAGTGAGGCTGTTGCTGTCCCTGGACCTACTGTGGGAAGAGGACGCAGTGGGACAGAATCTGGAAGTTACAAACATGTACAGAGCACCCCTTGAGAGAGACCTGTGGCTTTCCACTGAGGGCCACAGCTGTCCTGAGGCTGCGCAGAAGGGACCAGAGGAATAACTACACTAACCTCACCGTCCTGCCTCCCTCAGATCTTCTGTCAGGGCTCCCCATTGGCTGAACTTAAGGAGAGACCAGAGGGCAAAGGAGCCCCACTGACACAGTCTTCATAGGTCTTCTGGGAAGAGAGCAGGGTAGTGAAGAGTGGAGAGAATATTGGGGGCGGGGAGCAAACAGGAGATGCCCTGCACAGTGCTGCCAATGGTAAGCATGGACTGAGTTTCTAAAACAAGCGGGCTGCAGAAAGAATTCTTTTTGGAAAAGTTTTGGAAACAATATACCTGCAGGTTATTCTATTTTTTTTTTAAATCCTCACCTGAGGATATGCTCATTGATTTGAGAGAGACAGACAGACATTGATTGGTTGCCTCCCGTAGGGGACGGAACCCACAACCTAGGCATGTGCCCTGACTGGGAATTGAACCAACAGCCTTTTGGTGTATGGCATGATGCTCCAACCAGCTGAACCACCCAGCCAGGGCCAGATTATTCTATAACAGAGTACCTTTCCAGCTGCCATGACTCAGCTGTGTCACAAACATAATAACAAGACGCAAGTTGGACTTAGTGAAATTCATTTCATGAAGTTCACTTTGTAATAAAGCTACTCCTCAAAATAGAAAGTGCCTATTATTAACAATGATAAAACTGTTTGCATAGCATTTTGCACTTTACAAAGGACTTCTGTATACATAATTTTGTGTAATTCTCTCAATAATTTTATGAGGTATGTTGGAAGACAGACCCTTTTAACATGAGAAAAATGAGTCTTAAGGAGGTTGCCTAAGATAGCATGGCAAACAAGTGGGAAAGTCTGAATTTGAACCAGGTCTCCTGATTTCAAATTCAGATGCTTTCTACACAGAGGAACTCAAATCACTGCAATGATTTTTTAAAGGCAAGAATGATGACAGTATAAGAAATATAAGAAGTTCTTCTCCCTTCCAGATACAGCTGAGTGGGCTTTGTGGCTATTGATGTTCTTCATTAGTGCCTGATGTTTCACCATCTTCTGTTAGAGGGGACGCTATCTGGTGATGGTTGGGATGGAAATTTGGGCCTTGGAAGTTATATATACCATTATAACCAGGTGAAGGCCAAAGGGGCCCATCTTGAATGTCTCCGGAAATCCTAAGTGGGTCCCTTATGACTCCAGTATTTTGTACCCTTGAACCTGATCCGACCTCTGAAAGGGATTTGCTAGGTATCCTAATATCCCCCACGTCTGATACATGCACAGTAGTCTACACAAGAGTTATTGGGGTGACCATTTGGCCAGTAAGTTTGGCCAGATAGCAATAAAAGTAATAATAATAATAAAGCCATTTACAGTAATAAATTTGGGGCCCAGCATATGCAGCTCAGGTCCTCATTCCGGGATTTGCAGGGGTGGCCTTCTGATGATCTGACTCTGACTTCTCAGCGGCAGCCCCTCCAGAGCAGGAGAGAAGCTGTGCCCCCCGGGCAGTGAATCCCTGGGGCATTTGCTCAGCTTGTTTGGTGCTGTGACATTTCAGAAGTAGCGCCATCCCTGCATGGTCTTACCCTGCTGCGCTGGCAGCCGGACTCAGGATGTTCTTTCTTACCTTGAAGAGTGTGTGTGTGTGTGTGTGTGTGTGTGTGCATGCGCGTGCATGTGTGTACATACACCCATGTAGTCAATAAACAAAAAAATGACATAGAACATTTTTCTCATTCCAGAAAATTCCCTTTTCTCTTCCTAGTCAATCCCCTCCCTCCAAACCTTTCTTAAGAAAACAGGCAACCCTCTTCTTATTTCTATCACCATGATCATTTCGTCTGTTCTTGAATGTCATGTAAGTGGAATCATACAGTATCTGGCTTGTTTTACTCAACATAATATATTTGAATGTCATGTTGTTGTTGTGCATCAGTAATTTGTTCCTTTTTATTACTGGAAGTATTCCACTGTTTGAAAATACCACAATTTGTGTATTCTCCTGTTGTTGGATATTTGAGTCCTTTTCATTTTCTGGTCTAATATGAATAAAGCTCCTGTAAATAGCTTCCAGAAGTCTTTTTGTGGGAAATTGCACTTACTTCTTTGGGTCTATTTGTAGAAGTGGTATTGCAGGTGATACGGTAGGTGAATATTTAGAATTTTTTAAATCAAAATTTTATTTTAGGATAGTTTGATACTTACAGAAATATTGCAAAGATAGTACAGAGAGGTCCTATATATCTCATACCCAGCTTCCCCTATTATTAATATCTTACATTAGTATGGTACACTTGTCACTTAATGAACCAATATTGATACATTATTATCAACTAAAATTTATACTCTCCAGGTTTCCTTAGTTTATACCTAATGTCCTTTCTCTGCCCAGGATCCCACCTAGGACATATTACATTTAGTGGTTATGTCTGCTTAGGCTCTTCCTGGCTGTGGCCATTTCTTAGACTTTCCTTGTTTTTGATGTTCTTGACTGTTTTGAGGAGTACTGGTCAGGTATTTTGTAGAAGGCACAAAATATAGATTGCCTGCTGTTTTTCTCATGAATAGACTGAGGTTATTATGGGTGCTGGGGGCGGGGAAGACCATGGAAGTAAAATGCTATTTTCATCGTTTTATGTCAGGGGTGCGTACCCTGAACCTGTCCTATTAGAGACGTTAACCTTGCTCTCCTGGTGGGTGCTGTGTTTGTCAGGTTCCCCCATGGGATGTTCCTCCTCCTTGATCCTTTCATACTGTGTTCTTGGAAGGCACTCACCTTGTGCAGCCTGCATTTGTGGTATAGGGAGCTGAGGGTAGAGTGTCTCCATAAATTATTTGGAATTCTTCTGCATGGGCGATTTATATTTAAGTTTTAAGAAACCAAAAATAGTTTTCTAAAGTAGTGGTACCATTTTATACCTGGACAAGCGATGCCTGAGTGTCCACGTGTTCCTCATTCTCACCTAAACTATTGTTAGTCTTTTTAATTTTAACCATTCTTGTTGGTGTAAAGTGGTATCTCAGTGTAGTCTTAATTTTCATTCATGGTTATTAAGGATGTTGATACTTTTTCAAGTGCTTATTTGCCATTCCCGCATCTTCTTTTGTCAAGTATATGTGCCAGTCTTTTGCCCAATTTTTAATTTGGGTTGTCCTTTTTATTATTGAGTTGAGGAGTTACTTGTACATTCTGGAAAAGGTTCTTCGGTCAACACGTGCATGACATTTTTTTCCAATCTAGGGCTTGCCTACTGATTTTCTTAATGGTGTCCTTTGATGAATTGGATTTAAGATTTTAATGATGAAATTTGGGGTCTAGTGTTGGGTAATGAACTCTTACCCATTCTTTCTCTGATGTTGCTAAGCTTTAGTTATGACTATTAGTGGTGCGCTGGTGGACATAAAGGTTATAACTATGCTTTCTTTTCAAGGCATCTGATATTGCCCTAGATAAAGCAGTACCTGGCGGTTACTGGCGCCACTCTGTCTGGCCTGTGATTGGATGCTGGGTTTGAGGGGCAACAGAAGAAATTCCAGTCTTATCAGGAGAGGCTCAGCCTGTCTCCTGCAGAACTGAAAAAAAGGCTCATCTTTACTTTCACCCATATACTACAATTTCTGGTTAAGAATGGCTCTGAGCTCCTTGATTTCCCTGGGTTCCATTTATGTTCTAGAATTTTCCATCTGTCTACTTACTATTGATTCTGCAAACCTCAGAAAAAATAACAATGGCTCAAGGAGAAAATAGCCATGGCTTAACCTAATGTACAGAAAAAATGATAGGGATCAGAACTCCCTTATCTGAAAAGATGAAAAAAAAGAAAAAATAGGGACTTGAAAGTATTGAGAAGACCTGAGGGTTAATGGCATTCCTGAGCACATTTTAAAAATTCTAAAAAGTAGTGGGGAAAAGTTTGGATACTAAGACCACAGTTCTGACTTTTAAAAAACTGTTTCCCCTGGGAAGAGAATGTTTGTTTTATTCAGACAAAACTCTCTCTGAATGTAGCTGCCATCTTTTCTAACGACCCATTTTCTTCCCATTTCAGGTAAACCTCTTCGTGCTGCTCTCTGTGGTGTGTGTCCTCTTAAATTTAGCTGGATTTATCCTGGGCTGCCAAGGGGCCCAGTTTGTGTCCAGTGTGCCCCGGTGTGATTTGGTAAGCAGGCCCAGAACACCACAAGCTCCGGGACCCACCCTAGCCTTTGTGGCTTACCTTGGGTGCTAGAGTATGGCTGGCAGCGTCCAGCACTGGCAGCACCCTAAGATGAAACCTGAAATTGGTAAAGGAAGCTGCCTGCTAATTACTTTACTCAGGGTGTCAGTTATTTTTTCAAGGCAGAGGCCAGCCCGCAGAACCCCCAACCACAGCAATACAATGCCTCATTAGTTAGTTAATTGGTGGATTAGGTATCCATTATCAAAATCTTCCTGCTTTCATGGAAAGAGGAAAAATGGATATTATCAGAATAAAGGCCAGCTGTCCTTTATCCACAACCGTAGGAGGCCAGGCGTGTTTCAGATTTCAGAGTTCCTCCAATTTTTAGAAGATGAATGTGATGTATTTGTTCTGTAGAGCCCCAGGGCAATCTGGGACAGCAGCTGTAATAGAAACTTTTTGGATTTCAGAATTGTGTATAAGTGGTTGTGGACCTGTACCATCTCTGAATTTTTTTCTAAGTTTTAATTGTGGTAAAATACATACAACATAACATCTACCACCCTAACCATTCAGTAGTGTTAAGTACATTTACACTGTGAAGCAACCAATCTCCAGAACTTTTTCCTTCTTGCAAAACTGAAACTCAATATGTACTAAACAATAAGTCCTCATTCTGCCCCCAGCCCGCAGCCCCTAGCAACCACTGCTTACTTTCTATGACTTTAACTCTTCTGAGTTAACTCTTCTTCCTGGAAATGGAATCATACAGCATTTTTTTTTTTTTACTGGCTTATTTCACTGAATATAATGTCCTTAAAGTTAATCCACATTGTATTATGTGTCAGAATTCCCTTCCTTTTTAAGGCTGAGTAATATTCCACCGTAGGTATATAGCACCATTTGTTTATCCATTCATTCATCATCCATGGATGATTTGGTTGCTTCTTCCCTTTGGCCATTGTAAACAATACTGCTATGAAAAAAGGTTTACAAATATCTGTATGAGAACCCGCTTTTAATTCTTTGGGGTACATACCCAGAAGTGAAATTGCTCAGCATTTGTGAACTTTTTAAAAGGACTTTGTAGTAACAAATATCTCCCTGTGACACAAAGCAAAAACAAAATAATAAATTAAAAAAAAAGACTTTTTAGAGGTTGTATTAAATGTCATCCATTTGGAATTTGGTTTCAAGGCAGTCTCACCCTTGGAAACCAGCCGGATGCCGGGAAAGCTGGCTGCCTTCTGCAGAGGCTGTGATGGAGCCTTTGCAGGGAAGGAGAACTCCTGACCTTCCCAAACAGGAACGCTCCTTAGGGACTCCCTAAAAAACTGCTGCTCCTTCTTAACAACCCTTTTGATTTTTGTCTTTTCATTCCTTACTAACCATATGTGAAGGGGCCCCAGACCCACAGCCCTTTCAGGTTTGGAGGGCCCTCTGTGCCTCCCCCTCCTCCCGCCTGCTCCCCGGGTGGCTCACGCTCCCTGTAATGGAGCCAGAGCCTGTGGCTCGTTGCTGGGGCTCCTGCCCTACTTTCTTATTTCTAACAATGCTGCCTCTCCCTACCCCTCAAATTCCCTGTCCCTTACTGCCCTGTTCATCCAAGTGTCACCAGTCTTTTAAAACCTCAAAGATTATCTCCTTCAGGAATTAGTCCCTGGTCCCCTCAGAAGATCATCTTCCAGAATGTCCTAGCTGCCCAGCTCTTAACTATTTATCCTTTCCTTTTTGGGGGTAAAGATATTTATACACTTGTCTTCTCTCTTCTTCCAGGTGGGAATTTCCTTGGTTCTCTGTTATCTTGGGAGATTTCAGCAGCCTCCTAAACATTCCTTTATATACAGAGAGTTCCCAGAAAAGAAAGTTTTGAAGAAAGCTTGGTTTTCCAACTACTAATTGCTCAGCAAATTAGACGGGGAAAGAGAGTGGGCACAAGCTGGAAGTGAAAAGTCATACTATATGGAAAGACAATCCGGCAAAATTGCAGCATCTGTTATATGCAAGACACCATGCTAAAGGCTGCAGAGAGTCGAAAGGAAATTTTGACCTAGAATTTTATCAGTAGCAAGTGGAGTAGGATACACACGACACATGCTTGATCAGTGTTTGTGGAGGGAATGAATAAATTCCCAACCGCACAACAGGGTAGACTGTGTTCAGCTATCTCTGAGACTTAGTTCTAGGGGATGCTAAAGAAGGATTTGTACCCATGGGGAGATGGTGAAAGTCACCTGTAATATAGGCATTTGAGATGGACCTTGAACAATGAATAAATACGGGGAGGGGGTAGAACCCACATTGGGAGGACCTTAGTGAGCAGTTAGCCTAGTGGTTTGATCACTGGTAACTCTGGAGAAAATGGAAGCCAGATCGTAGGGGTTAAGGGTATAGATAGTTGACTTTGATGAGAGATTCTGTGGTTCTGTACCCTGGCTTCTCATTAGAATAACCTGGGGGAACCCTTTAAAAAATACCCAAACTTGGGTCCCACATCCAGAGATTCTCAATTGCCCCGGAGTGCGGGGGTGTGGGTCTGGGTGTGAATATGTGTTTAAACTTTTAAGTATATTTTTAATTTAAACAGTTTTCTCACCACAAAACCAAATCTGTGATTGTTTCTGATTAAATATAATTGTGAAAATTTAGACAAGCCATAAAAGTATAGGACAGAATTTTAAGTCATTTAAAATCTTAACTATACTGGGATAGCATAGTTAACTACTTGCTGGCTTTTTTTTTTTTTTTTTTTTGCCATTTTCAATGCATAAAGCACATGATTTTTAATCAATGGGGCCATGTTATAGTTGTTTTTCATTAGGAAGGCTGTTTGACAAAGGAAGTCTTTTGGGGTAAGAGATGCTCTCTTTTTCTCTTTCCCTCTCCACTGACATGGGTCACCCCAAATCCATGGTAACAAGTGAAGTCAAAGCTGTCTGATTAATTTAACAAATGTGAGAGGTGTAGCTTTTCTTTTTAGCCAAAATAGAATAGTCAACTTCAACAGCTCAAGCAGCAGAGCAAGTAAGAACAAACCTCTGCCCTCAAATTATAGGTCTTGTGAGCCACAATCAGGTGGTACATATTTTCACAACATGACTCAAGAAAAACTTGGAAAAGTGACTGAAAGTTTGCAAAGCCTCTCACTAAAATATATATGAGATGACTGATCAGTGACATTATAACTTCAAATAAAGAAAACATTGAAGATGTGAACTAAGAAGTCTTTTTAAGTATACATGGTTTAGGGCTACTGTTCACCCAAATGCATCTTATAGGCACATTGTAGGCTGAACTTCCTTGCCCTGTGGGAGTTTGGTGGGGCCGTATGATTTGCTTTGGCAGTCATTTGGGAGGTAAAGTGTTGAGTGTTGTTTCCAAGAGGACGATTTAAGCCAGGGTTACCAGATTTAGCAAATAAAAACACAGGACATGAATTAAATTTGAATTTCAAATAGACAGCTCGTAGTTTTTACTATAAATAGGTCTCATAATATTTGGGTCATACTTATACTAAAAATTGATCTGTTAGTCATCTAAATTCAAAGTTAACTGGGTGTCTTGCATTTTACCTGGCAACCCCACTCCAAGTGCCCTTATGCAATTCATCCCATGTCCTCCATCTCTCTGGCATAGTCATGATAGATCCTGAGGTGGCAGGTACTCCATCAACCTGGGTCTCTAGGTGAATATGATGAACAGATGCCCCTGCTGACCTAAATGGTCATGTAGGATGTTCAAGAAATAACCTTGTTTGGTGAAGCCACTGGAAACTGGAGGCTGGTTGTTACCACAGCACACCTGAGCCTATCCTGACTGATACAGACACTGCCTGACACTAAAGCCTGCCATAGTTCATTCTGTAGGATTGGTGCTCCATGGTGTAGCCTGTATATTTTTCTTAATCATTAAATTATTGTTCTGCCTTTCCCCCTTAAGGTGGACTTAGGTGAAGGCAAGATTTGCTTCTGTTGTGAAGAATTTCAACCAGCCAAATGCACAGACAAAGAAAATGCCTTGAAACTCTTCCCGGTTCAGCCTTGTAGTGCAGTTCACCTTCTTCTTAAGGTACCTTGAATGGATTATCAGCAATAGATATACCCAGAGCCCCAGAGAAAGCAAAGTTACTTGAAATATTCTTACCCTGTTACCTCCATCAAATAGTTACACTGCCGAAAATAGATGGGAACAACTCCTCATCAGTGATTCAGAGACAGAATTGAACACAGAAAGTATCACATATTATTGTGTGTCTTTTAAATTATGGGCTGACTTTCTTTGTGTTCAAGAATTATAAAATAGTATAACATGTAAATGAACCTAAAGAAATACATATATATGTATATTATATATATATGTTTATTACATATATATGATGTAGCTTTTAGGAAAACCTTTAAATTGAATGCCCGTTTGTCATTATTCTGATGCTCCTGTGGTAGTATAAATGAATCTGTGGGCTGTTGAGCTCTATGGTTCTGGGACACAGATTTAGGAGAGGTATTGGCCAGGAAATACAGGAGAAATTCAAGCACTTTACCTCTTATTTAATAGGCAACAACTATAATAAACAAAAGAGATTAAAACCAAATAATCCTAGTTGAAGAGAAGTACAAAATTAGCCTTTATTAGGGAATTGGATAAAAATTGTGTTCTGACTTAAGGCCCATTAACCCAGTGAGTGACAAGATCAGTTTGGTGAACAGTGAGGCATTAGCTTGTGGGTAGTCTACCGCTGATGGCTTTCTTTAGTTAGATCTTTGGGGTTTATTTTTCGTGGGGAAGAGAAATCTCTAAGCAGAGAGAGAAGCTGCCAGCTCTCTGGATTATGAAGGATGTAAAAATGGCTTTCTTTATTTGGCTTGGGGATTTTTGGTAGCTGAGTCACCCCCAAACTTTCTGAGCCAGGACTTTGCTTTGGGGAAAGCCCCGCTAAGGAGCCAGGATTGGGTCAACAGAAACATTTGGAATTGCCTTTGCTACTATTTTGAGATGTGTGTTTAGAGGAGAGAAGCCCTGTTTACACTCGGGCAGCCTGCCCCCTCCGTTGTCCTAGTTGGGTGCTCTGGGCAGCTCTGCCAATCGCTCCTGAAATAGAATCAGTGGCCACGAAAGGAGCAGCATGCTGTCCTGGTGCAAGGCTGTGGGAGGGGGAGGCTGGGGACCGATGTCACTGGGGACGCCGACTTCAGAAGAAAAACTCTCTGCTTTCCTGCGAGGAAAGTTTCCAGACATTATTTTGATGCTTGCAAAAAGAACTACTGTAGTATCAGGTCTTTCTGGGACAGGAAGCTTCTAAGATAAATATGTTCAATTAAGAAGTACACACTATTGCATGAGTTATAATAATACCAGCATTTTGGGAGGGGCACTTACCATGTAAGTACTTTACATGCATTTTCTCCTGAGCATTGTCTTATTGGGACAGTATTATATTTTAAAGAGAATTTTATATTCTGGGCATCTGCTTTGAAGTACTCAGTGATATCATTGTTTCGTTCTTCTAGAAAGTCCTCTTCGCCCTGTGTGCCTTGAATGCCCTGACCACCACTGTCTGCTTGGTGGCCGCCGCCCTTCGCTACCTCCAGATATTTGCAGCCCGGAGATCCTGCAGCGTAAGTCCATGCAAGGTGGCACCGTGACCGTGTTTCTGGTGAACCTGCCCAGGGACTTTTCTGTGCAATTCATTGCTTTTCTCCATGAGCCTTTGTAGTGAAGGCGGTTGACTAACAGAGGTGCTGTTTAATTAGGATGAATCCCAGATTTCTGCCGAAGAAGTGGAAGAACACAGGCGCATCCCAGACCCCGATGACTTCGTGCCACCAGTGCCTCCCCCTTCCTATTTCGCCACATATTACTCATGCACACCCCGGATGAGCCGGAGGTATCGTTCGTAAGTACGCCCCCTCCCCCCTATTCTCTGTACGGTACGTGCTCTCTCTCTCTCTCTCTTTCTCTCTCTCTCTGATAAACTGCATGAAACCAAAGAAAAGTCAAACCTTGACCTAAAGATATACTTTTTCAATTTCAATTAGCTTCCCAGGAAAACCTACACCCAGTGAGATAACTGCTGTAATTTGACATGATTGAGAGCTGCTGTTGCCCTGGAAACGCACTTAGTTAAGCCAAATCGATGTTCATTATAACACCATCAGCAGGTCCCCAAATCATGAACTTCTTCCCAGCCATTAAAAAAAGATGAATTATTAATTACTTCTCTCTGGCCCAGAAAAAAATAGACACCAGGCTCGCTATTGTTTTCAAATCCTAGCTCAAAATTTGACCATCAGTTTCTTAACCCTCAAGATTTTATTATTTGTAGAATGAAATGCCACATGCCTTCCTCTGATTGCTACCAAGTTCTAGAATTGTAACTCTCTAAGGAATGACTTATATTCATTCAACAAGCATTAGTCAGTTCTCTGCTGCTTACTCGTCACTGTGTTGGGTTATTGAGATTCAAAATGAGTTAGACACCTCTGTCCGCCCCCCCATATCAAGGAACTCACAGTCCAGGTTATTCAAAATGCGTGTTTTTGCAATCACTGCAAGTGGTACTCAGAAAAGAGGATTTAAGTGCCCAGAGGAGGACCACCTCCCCTGGAATGGCAGGTGGGCTGCAGAGGGCTTGAAGGAAGAGTCAGCTAGTCAGGGTTGGCTTCCTGGGCAAGGTGAGCTTAAGCTGAATTAAGCGGATAAGCAACCCTATGTTTAAGTTTCCAGTAGAGAATCTCTGAATTCTACAGAAAGACCAGTATCTTTAGCTTGATATTCTGAGGGCCAGGAATTTAAAATTTTTAATCGCTCAGGTACATATGGAGAGTTGTCAAATTTGGTGCCAGGCATGGTGTTTTTGGAAATCCATTTTGTAATGCTTGTGGCAGCCATACGTGACTTGGAACAAGGTCACCAGTGGGGGCTACCAGCAGATGCTGTTAGTGTTTCTTCCTTGGGCTGTCTTCCTGACTTGTCCTTCTGAGTCAGACCTAAACCCTACCTCAGGCTCCATACCTGACCACTCACCTAGGTGGAGGGAAGGATGACCACAAGCCACAGGGGGTGTCAGCTGGCTGGAAGGAGGGGCGGGGATGCCCGGAGTTGGAGCTCAGCTTCCCTGTTGAAACTTTGAAGCTTCAGGGCCCCAGGACAGTTTCTCTGGTCTCTTAGGAAATGAACCAAGAATTACAGGGGCCAGAGAGACAGCAACAAAACCCATATTCTTGGTGTACGTGAGGGCACATTTGCTGAAACCTTAGTCCAATCTCAGGCTGGGTGCAGAGGGTTCATGAGAGAGCAGTAAAGTGCCTGGTGTTTCTTGATTCAGAAGAGCAGTGCCCTCTTTAAGAAGAATTCCTTGGCTCTCTGCGGCTGTGGGGGAGCATTTGGTTGACCTAAGAGGAGGCGACAGACAGATTTAATTTCCTGTAAGAGCAGAAAGGGAAAGTGACTCATGTGGGTTTGGGTATTGTGCTATCCAGCAGAGAGGCCTGTAGAGTCTCTCCCCAGCCCCCCAACCTTCTCTTCTCCTCTCTTTCCTTCCTCTTCTCTGCTCTTCCACAGCTGTGTTTAGCAGCACGGGTATTTCCGCTCTTGGAGGATATACGGGCATCTCTGGATTTGTCTCTCTGAGTCCTGAAAAAGCCCCTGGCCAAGTTGAAGTTGGAGGAAGACAGACAAGCTTCTCATCAAGGGCATTACTATTCAGAACTTTCGGAAGGAACATGGGGGAGGGCGTTAAAGCAAAACACTCTTGTGAGAAAGAAGACACTACTCGGCCTAAACTGTATACCTGGAGCCCTAGATCCTATCTTCAGTGGGCCAACGCTCTCATTTTCTGAAATTCCACCAATGTCAGAGTGAAGCCCACTTTCTTTTTTAAAAGTGGCTGAATTTGTTCACCTTTATGTACATATTCTTTCAGAGATATTTTAAGAAAGCTTTTTCTCTTTAATCCTCACCCAATGATATTTAGAGAGAGAGGATGGGGGGTGTGTGTGTGGAGAGAGACAGACAGATGAACAGATATGGATGTGAGAGAGAAACAGCCATCAGTTGCCTCCTGTATATGACCCAGCTGGGGATTGAACCCGCAATGTAGGCATGTGCCTTGACCAGGAATCAAACCCGCAGACTTTGGTGTATGGGACAACGCTCCAACCACCAGCTGAGCAATCCGGCAGGGCTCTCAGAGGTATTTTTAAGTTTGACTGACTTTGCTAGATTCTCAGTAGAAAATAACTTTATAGACACTAGATATTTAATCCCAGGTGGTAATTTTTTTTCTTGTAAGCAGGCAGGTAAAATACTAACTTTTTAAAAAAAATTTCCACAACCAGTTAAGTGTTTTCACGCAGCGGAGGCTCCTTGTTTCTTGTAAGGTGTTATGACCTCTCAGAAGAGGTTTATTTATTTAACGTCTATAAACACAACCACTTCATGCATTTGTCTCCTTGAGAAAGGGCTTCTCAAGTGGCTGTCATAACCAGAAGCCTGGCTGCCTCCAGGCCCTCAGCCCAAACACGGGTCACCGACTTTGTGAAGCGATTCGTCAGTACAGGAGGGGCGGCGCGCCCCGCCGGCACCAGGGACTCTCCGATCTCAGGAACTGGCCTGAGCCATGACTTGAAAGGGAGAATCTCCAAACTATTTTGTGAATGTGGACCCACTTGGACCCCAGGATGCTACTTGCTACAGGAAATAAAAGAAGAAGGGGTGGGAGCCAGGTTGGCCTGGGCATTTCTTAAAGGTGAAGACAGAACCCACCTATTTCCTTTCCTAATGAGCTTCAAAACCCACACTCAGGTGGGGCCAGGCTGTGCTCGTGGTTGACCCAGTGCTCGGCTCTCATGTGGGGCCCCCCTACCTTACTCCCCCCTCCACGGGCAGCAACCCTACACCTCGTGCCCAGTTAAAGGGCGCACACGGCTTTTCTGGTACACACAGGAAGTTCATTCTTTGACCAAGGACATATTAGTTGCTGCATCCCCCTCAGAAGAGTTCTCAAAGCCTATTGGTAGCATCAAAGCAGACCACGGTTTGCATGACCTGTTTGAGTTTCCTGATCCCCTTCAGTGCTCAGGCCAGGAACCAGTGAAGGCTTCCTGGACACTTTGGGATAAACGTGAAAGGGCTCAGGTTCTGGAGTCTCTTAAAAGGATAACCCTGGGTGGATCTTTGTCCACTTCTGAGCCTCAGTTTCCTCATTCTTCTGTGTTGTCACTTGGCTGCTGAGAGGATTTTACGAAATAATAGGCACAAGAAATCTTTCTCAAAGTAAGTTTCCACTGTGCTCTATCACTGTTAATTACCCTGTTTAAAATATTCTTGGCATGTATCTTAGCCTTAAGAAACAGCCTTTAATCCTACCTCTGCCTTATCAGGCCGCAGTTTTTTAAAGACACTCATTCCTTTTTCTTTTTCTTTTTTTTAAATCTTCACCTGAGGACATGTTTCCATCCCTGTTAAAGAGAGGGGAAGGGTGAAGGAGAGAGGAGGAGGAGAGAGAGAAAGATCACCTGGTTGTCCCCTGCAACCCAGACCAGGAATTGAACCCACAACCGTTCAGTGCCCAGAGTGATGCCCTCAACAACTGAGCCATGCGACCAGGGCTAAAGAGGGTCATTCTTAATAAAAATCTGATCACCTTCGGTAGATACCACAGGGTTTTAATTTCAGCTGCCGCAATCTACTTCCTTCTGCAGTGCTCTCTGTGCCGGCCGCGCACTGGGATCGCCTGGGGCATGGACTGCCTGCAGAGGCCTGGGCCCCACTGCAGGCAGGCAAGGCAGCATCTCCAGAGGGGAGGCCTGGCCCTGCAGAGCTTGGGGACCCTCCTCAGTGAAACCCATAGGGGGTCAGGGACAAACCTGCCAGTTAATAGCAGACCCATTTCCCACAACAGATCCTCATTTACCCAAATTAGGAAATAAATAAGGAAAGGCTGCCTAATAGCAAAGCAACTTCCCTTCTGCATGAACTCTAGCAGCACCTTCCATCAAAATGAGGCTTTACCCAGTCATTTTAATAACCATCAGAGAAGCCATTTCATTTTGTGGACAATTCAGGTGAGGTGCATCCCCACTTTTCTGTCAGTTTTCCTTTTTGAAGAGATTCTTCAGTCTAAAGAGGGTCTAAAGGACCTTAGAGGGTCTAAAATGGAAGCCTTTCCTCTGGCCTCTTGGCCCTAAGCCGGCCCTTTCTTCTCTGTGCACACACGGTGTAGGTGGCCACTGGGTTGGGAATACAGAACAGACCACCAGAGCTGACAGACAGACCGACAGGGGTACTAACTTTCCAGGCCTGGGCACAGCCGTGAAAGGCTGGCAGAGTTGGCTGAGGGGGGAAATCGAGGGTTTGTACATGCTAGAAAGATGTCTCACGAGGGTTATGTTAATGAAGGATTGAAGCCTGGCCCTTGGTGGGGGGCAGGAGGAGGCCCTGGGTCTCACTGGGTAGACAGGTCACCTTAGTCACTGGTCAGGAAAGCGACTTCAGTCAGGTGCCAGAGGGTCTGCATTCCTGGCGTCACTTGGTGTTTGTAGCTCTTAAACAGCTTTGGCTGGAACAGAGATTTGGTGAGAAACTCGTGAGCAAGTCCTGCTCGAAGTGGGGCATATATAACATCCCTTACGATAGCTTCACCAGGACCCCGGCCCCCCAGCCCCCAGCCCCCTCCGGGAGAGACCCTGCGTGCTGGGCACCTCTTCAGACCTGCATGTGCTGTGTCCTGAGCCTGCACATATCTCTGCACTAGTTGTCAGAATGTAACCTTCCCTCTTTCAGGTCAAGCAGGGGATGAGAGTCTTCCTTCTGAATTAAGGGAAAGGAAAAAATGGGAGAGCTTTCTCATTATATATATATAATGGTTTTCAACTTCTTTTCCTCTCCTAATTGAATTTTTGAAAATGGACACCAGGGATACCATGAAATGGCCCTGAGTCCAGAGAGCACCTTTCCTTCCAAAAAGCAGCGCTCTGCCTGAGCTGCTCTAGAATCTGTCTTCATTAGTCTCCTTTAACATGTGTCCAATTTTGCATTTTAAGAACAGATATTAAACTTTGCTGTTATCTATTTTTTTTTTCATTCTCCAATACTCTATGGCTTGATACAGGTATTTTGGTGTTCTGTGTATTTAAAAAATTGATATATATTTGAAATGAATACAATTTCAGGTATACAACATAATGATTTGACATTTGTATGTATTGCAAGTGATCAACACAATAGGTCTAGTCAACATCCATCACCAAACACAGTAAATTTTTTTTTTCCTGTGAAGAAAACTTTGAAGATCTACTGTCTTAGCAACTTTCAAATATAATACAGTATTATTAACTATGGTCACCATGCTGCCCATTACATTCCCAGAACCCATTTTATAACTGGGGGTTTTGTTGAAAGGTATAAACTTCCACGTATTTTTTAATTATTATTTTAAAATTGAGGGTCTTTGTTACCTAGATTGTGTGTGTGTGTGTGTGTGTGTGTGTGTGTGTGTGTGTGGTTTTCTACAGACACTGCCAGAGAATCTTGTGGGGTTTTTGTTTTTGTTTTTGTTTTTGTTGTCAAGGATCCTTCACCCACAGGACAAAAAACCGCAGCGGCGCCTCACAGCAAGCTCGGGGTCAGTGCCTGCTGAAGGGCCGCCCGCCCGAGAGTCCCTGCAGGGTCCCTCCTGCTGTGTGCCGCTTTGTTTCTGAGCTGTCACCCTGTTCGCTTTATTTGAAAAATTTATTTATCCTTTCAGATATTTTTTTAACATATACTAAGTCTCTCCCATGAATCAGACATCAGGGAAACCCAGGCAAGAAAGTTGTCATGTACTAATGTAAGAAATAGTTGTTTCCCTGTGCCTCTAGTTTTATTTTTTTAATTGAGGTGGAATTCACACAACATGAAATGCACCATTTGAAAATGTAAAATTCAGTGGCATTTAGTAAACTCCCAGTACAGCACAGGCATGCCTTCCACCTAGTTCTAAAGTACTTGCATCTCCTCCAAGGAGCTCTGTGTCACTTATCATTCCCCATTCCTCCCTTCCCTCCCCCCCAGCCCCCGGCAATCAGCAACCTGCTTTCTGTCTCTTAGAAATTATTGCTTGCTTTTTGCCTAGAAGATTTTACAGGAATGATGGTATCGCATATTATGTGTTGCCACTTGCCTGAGGATAACCATCTCGAGGCAAAGGCCAGCAGGCAGGAGCCACTAAGGTCAGCTGGTCTCTCTGTAGAACGTGCTTCCTGATGCCAACATACTTTTCCTAGGATGGGTGGTCCTGATATTATCCCGCTGCCGCATATATATGGAGCCAGAATCAAAGGCGTGGAAGTGTTCTGTCCTCTGGACCCCCCGCCTCCCTACGAAGCTGTGGTGAACCGGACGGACCAGGAGCAGGTACGGTGCATACAGCTTCTCTCCGGGGTGTTGAGCGCAAGTAGGAAAAGCAGCACTTGGCTCCGAGAGCGGTGGGAGACCGGCACTGCCGATCTTTTTAAGAGCTTCACTGAGCCCAGGTGATGCTTGGGCTGAATATTAACCAATATTCCTCTTTTTTCCTGTGATGCAGGCACCTTCATTCCAAATGTCAGGAGAATCAGAAGCTGCCACAAGCCCAATGGAGCCAGTCAGCATGACAATGACTGAAGGTAAGAAACATATTATTTGCAGCCCAAACCTGTATCAAAATATTAGAACATGATAAAATAATGATCTGTATGGTATTCTGTGGGAGGTCAGATATTCTTGAAGCAAATAGGTCACGCTATATGCTTTCTTAAATCAACTTTTAGGGCTTACAAAGGGCGAAAACATGTGGACAGAAATAAAGATATCCTTAGAATCTTTTATGAATAACCAAACTATTCTCGGAGACCCGTGAAATAGATTACAGGGTTTAATTTGGTCGCACTTTTGTGTTTTCAACCTAAGATTTTTCTCTCCTGTTAAAATAAGAAGAGTTCTTTTTAAGGAAATGCATTTCATTTATTAGAGTGATTTGCTATGAGATTACGCTGTCGTTTATAACTTAGCGTCCCGGTCATGCCACCTTAACATGTAGTGATTTCTGATTTCCAGACCTGCATTAAATATTAGAGTCAGTTTATATTTATCTTTGTGATTTAAGGTAACATTGTTACAGCTTTCTCTCTTTGGAGAGGTTTTAAATGGCCCAGAGAATTGCCCACCAGGACAAAATTGCACATGGTCATAAATAATGGATCAACTTTTAGCTATTTTAGACAGAGGTAATTTTTCAGCAGTGCCATTTGGGATTGTGTTTCTGTTCTGTTCACCGTCCATCTTATGTAGAATTATGCAGCAGTGCTCTCTGTTTCCGAAGTATGTTTGCAGTTCTTCCATTTCTTAAAAAAAAGTTTCCCAGACCACACTCAGGCTCGTAAATGATGTGCTTTTATTTTCCTGAGCAGAAGCCATCCAATTCCAGAGTGGTCTTTCTGATTCATTTAGTGGCTACTGGCTCTTTAAGGTGGCTTTTCAGAAGTTTCACAGCGCAGCCTGCAGGCGCCCCCCTGCCTGTTCTTGGTCCGCAGCTCACAGCGCAGCCACCGTCCCTGTGCAGGTCTTAACTCCCACCCGACCGACCGAGCTCATCCCGAACGGTCAGGAACTGGAAGATGGGGGTGGGGGGGGGGCTTTCCAATCCTGAAGGGGGCCAGGATGCTTCACTGGAGAAGATGCGAACACCTTTAGGAAAAAAAAAATGCCGTTTTGGCAGGCTTCTTTATTTCAGTCGGGCGTGGAGGTTTTTGTTTGTTGGTTTTAGATCTGGAGCGCTGGTTGGGACAGGCGTTTCTCATAGTGAGGGAAATAAAAACGTCCTGGGCCGGCAGCCTAAGCAAATGTTGTTAACTGCGTTGCCCTCACCCCGCAGCTTTGGGTTCACAGGTGTTTCCTGCCCCAAATTTTGAGGGCTGCGGCCGGTGAAATAATTTTTGTTTCTCCTCTTAAAAAAATTACTCAGATGGGAACATTCCCAGCGCACCTGGAGGAGAAAGTGCATCCACTTCAACTGCCAACTCAAACCAGCTGCAACCCCTGACAAGCTGGAGTATTCTCCAGCCCCTGTTGGCAAGATCGAAGAGTGACCCTGTGCTCCATCATTCCGTGGAGAGAGGTGAGGCCATTCCTTCCCCAAGCTCCCCGCAGAGCACGTACCTGCCTCCAGGTGCCCGGTGGGAACAGGTGGCTCTGGCCGCGCAGGACCCTGCCGTTGAAGAGATATCTTAAAGGAGATTAAGAGGTCTTGAGGAAGTAAGATATCCTGCATGCACCTCAGGAATATACATCTGCCACATCTTTTAAGGCTGGTGGGGGGCTGTTCTTTTTAAGTCACTTTATCGGACACAGTTGGTTGCAAATGACAGTGTGGTTGTGGGCACTACACAAAGAAACTTGTGTAGTTTCCCACCCAGCCTTGATTTCTAGGTGCTCATGATCCCGTGAGAGTACGCATTCTCTCTCTCGCTCTCTCTCTCTCTCTTTCTCTCAGGGAGCAAGTCTAGGGTGGCAGTTTTTATTCCCTCTTCTACACTTTAATATTAGTTATCTTTTACTGTGTAGGAATAGATGGAATCACTTAAATCCGACCTTGCTTTTAGAACTTTGGTTAGAGTGAAACTCACACTTCATCTCCCTCCCTGTTTGGAGTTTGTTTGTGTGTAGATGTTATTTGAATATATGAATACCTGAACATCTCCAAATATGTCTTCATTGTAGAAAAATTGTAAAAAATAAAGGAGCCGAAGGAAGAAAACGAACACCCATCCGCACCGGCTTCCTTCGGTGACCTATTCTCACAAGTGGCTTTTGCTCTCCTCGCGCTCTGTGCACACACTGTTCTCGCCTTGCCTTCTCCGGGGCCTTGTGTCGCCCCCTTACATTCTGGTTCGGTCCGCGGACAGCCTGTTTGCCGCCACTCTGGACTGGCCGTGAGGGAGCCAGGGAGAACACCTCTCTTGTCTCTGCCGTGGCTCTTGACCGGGGAGGAGCCCGCCACCTGGGACTGAGCGCACCTTGGCCAAGCCCAGACTCTGGCGGCCCAGCCCCTCAGCTCCCAGCCCCTTCTTCACGGAGGGTCTCTGCCCTACCTGGCCAGTGGCGGATTGGAGCTGGCCACCTGCCGGCTTCAATGGGAACTTCGCTGTCTGCACAGCTTAGAGAGACCTTTCCAGAACCCCTTCCCATCCTGTAGTACTGCAGGGGTGAGGATGACGTGTGTTCACCTGTGGGAGCCCGCCGTTGTGGAAGGGACCAGGTTGCCTTCACGTGACTGAGTGTAGACCCTGTCCTCACATGGGAGAGTCTGTAGGACGCATCCCGGGGAGAGTCCAGCTCTCTGGGATCTGCTCGTAGCAGCCCAGGAGGACCGCCGCTAACCATTGGGTAGAGATCCTCGTGCCCACTTTTCTCCAGAGGAAAAGGATGCTCCCCTTTCTCCGCCTCTTCTTCCACCGCTGCTTCCTTTCCTCACTGAATATCTAAGTTCCTGCTTATCAGGCCTTTGCAGACTGAAATCTCCAGTGTCGTGTCCACTGACGGCTGCTGGCTGGCTTCTGACCACGTGGAAACCAGGCCTGAGTTTCACGTCACCCACCTGACGGTGCAGTAATGTCCTGCCAGTCCTTTCACCCTTGCTCAAGTAGGCAGTCCTGGAAATGAGAGCCCGTGGTGGGTTCCCCAGGCCCATTGTTGACTTCCGGAATCACGTAGCTTTTCTGCGCTTAGGTGTCTCTTTCTCTAACCGTCAGCCATAGAGCTGCCTCCCAGCCATGGTGTGAGCACTGATAATATAAGTCAGTACGGTGTCCTTGAGGACGTTTAGGACAAAGGTACAGTCGAAGTGAGCAGAGCGTTCCACTCATCCCACAAGTCTTGTCTTTCCTTAGTCCCTGTGTCTAAGTGGTTCCTTCATTCCCACCCCTCGCCCCTCGCACCGTGGAACATTCTTTCATCAGTCAGCCACGTTTTGCCTGCTTGCCCCATGTACTGGTCATTCCCCCCACGGAACCGTTGCTCCACTATGGTTTATATTCCGGATGCTCTCCTCTACCATCTCTCTTCACCTTGGGGGTCGTGTTTTATGTGGCATAATAAAATCTTCTGGGGACATGTCCTGTTGAAGCTACATCAGGAAATGAGCTTGTGTCATAGTTGTCGGTTTTGCTATCCTTTTCCTTTTGCAAAATGAAAAAGCAAGATGTGCATGGCTGTTGGCATTCGTCATGTGCTCTCCACACTGCGTTTAGATACAGGCGGGTGTTCACAGGGGCACGGCCAATGGGTACGTGTTGTTTGTTATCTTTGCCCACAGCCACTCCCGTGCTGAGCTGTGAAGCTGCGACTCAGACTGAGGGGAGACCGGATCTGGCTGCAGTGACCTTGAGGAGGGGTCTGAGATCCAGAACCTCCAGATGCAGACCGCGGTCTCTAATAGATTACAAATCTTACGTAGACACCAAGGTGCTGGTGGCGAAGATCCTGGAGCAGTCCTCCGGCAACATGAACCCGGACATCCATGAGCTTGTGGAAAGCATTAAATCTGTGCTGAAGCGCGACGAGGAGCACATGGAGCAAGCCATCGCAAGTGCCTCCGTCCTAGAACAGGTAGTTTTATTATTACCGTTCGGCGTGAATCACATAACTTGTTTCCATTGCAGCTGAAGCGGCTTCTCCGCTTTCCTGTCCGGGGTACAGTAAGTTCATGGTCACTGTGTCAGGGGAACCATGGCCAGGGGGTTTGGGGAGGGGGGAAGACGCTGGAGCCCTTTCTTTTCAGCTGTGGCAATTTTTCCCCAGTGTTCTCGGCCCAAAGGAAGAGAAACCCGTTTTTCCGGGGTGTGGAAGCCTGGACAGAGAAAGGGGTGCATCTTGGGGACAAAAGCAAGGGGTCTGGGCAGTATGGTCACATTCAGCAATTGCTGTCCTACGTTGAAAGTTTCCCTTGCTACGCCATGTTTTTTCAGCCCTTTGACAATGATGGACATGCATGAATTTCAGTACTGGCCAGATTCTGGAGTTGTTCATGTTCACATGAAGTGTTTAGCAAGATACCTAAGCTGAGGGGACTGAAAGGAACGAACACCTTTCCCTTTCCATAGGTTAAAAAATACAAGGCAATCCCCCGACCAGAAGCCACAGGAGAAAAGACACAACGGGGCATGTCAATGATCCACTTAGGTGTAAGGTTTCTCATCTTAAAGTGAAGGGTTGGACTAGGTGGTCTCTACCCTGGATCTCTGAATGAAGGGGGTTTCCTTCAGATGAGAACTGGGCGTGGGTTACCGCTTCAGCTACCCGCCTCTTTGTAAAAGCGGCCACCTTTGAGGCGTTTACTTCATTGCCCCAGGTGTGTGGGGTGGTTGTGGAAGGGACCCGTGCACCACGGTGTATTTCACTATGGCGTGACACTATGATGTATTTCAAGTTATGTATGCGGTACGTTGTAAAAATAGATTTAACAATAGAACCAGTTCTAGGAGTTTTTACAAATAAATTGGCCTAGTTGTTATGTTGCCTATCAAAGGGGTATTAGAGCAGTTAGGAGCATCATTGGCCTGGGTTGGGGTTTTATGAACTTGTTACCTGGTCACCATGCCCAACTAGTAGTTAACATGTCTTTTGAGTGCGTTAGTATCGCCCGGGTTCTTGTTCAAAGATGCTCAAGCCCCGCTCCAGACTCACGTGTCAGAATCGGTGTAGGGAGAGCTGGGCGCGCCCCCCCAACCCCGACAGGCTCCCTTCCCTTCCTGAAATGTGTAGACCCCAGCGAGCATCACTGGCTTAGGCCGCAGAAGAATTGGAAGGAAGTGATGAGAAACGTTAAATATAAAGCAAGAAATTGTGATAGATGGATCAGCGAAGTGAGGCAGGTCTACAGTTGAAATAGGAAATTTGGGGGATGAATTAGGAACTTTAGAAAAGGGGCAATATGTTAAAAGTCTCTCTGGAATTCCAAGTGGGTTTCACTTTGGGAAAGTACCCTTTTCTTTCACAAGGCAGCTAAACATGACATGGACGGATATAGGAGGCGGATCCCAGGTCCACGGCTGGTGAAGCTTAACCTCTCCCCACCCTCTTTATTCTATTCTCCCAAAGATCATGGCTCCAGTGCAGCGCGGCCCCATGAGGGTCCCCTGCCTGCCGTTGCAGAGACTGCCTGGCCTGCTGCACCTGCAAAGCTGCGGAGACCTGAGCACCTTCGTCTCGGCAGCGAGGCTGAGAGCTGAGAGAAGACCCCGGCGTGCGGCTGAGAGGCCACACAGCCTCATTGGTGTCATTCGGGAGACTATCCTGTGAGGCAGCCAGGCCAGGCTCCTGGAGAGTAGTTTCCAGGGTGGGGGGTGGGATCCCCCTCTGGGAACTGCTCAGAAGGAGGGGGTACTTCAGCAGATACTTCCTCCTGCTCTTCGTCTTCTCTTTCTGCTGTGACCCCGTCAATGAGTGGCTTTTCCCAGGCTCATTTAATTTTTGGATACATCAGATTGGAGGCGGGGAAGGCAGCATCTCTTTCTCCTTGGGTCCCCTGTCCTGGTGTAGGGTCCCCATAGCCTTCTTCCCTGAGCTCTCTGTCACTGTTGGGCTGCTCGGATCGCTCCCTGCGGCCTTGCATTGGCACGAAGCACAGTGATTAACCCCCATGCTCTCTAATCAAGTCCCCTCTTACCTCACCCTGAAATCACACTCTCTTTAGGAAAGACAGGAAACTTCGTTGGTGACAACTTGTAACGGAAGACATCTAGAGAGAGTGTTCTTGTTGATCCTACTTATTCCTGCTTGCAAAACTAGAGATGGCTAAGGTAGAAATCAGAATAAAACTTTTTACTTTTTACCTATGGACTCGGTGTACATTTGTGTGTGCGGACGTGGCCACGCCTTACTTCATGATTTTGGAACTTGGAGCAGTGGTGGTCAGGTTTGGGCCGGCTCCCAACCAGTTTAATCTCCAAAGCACCTGTTCCCTGTGCTTAACAACGTCCTTTATGCATTCAGCCTGGCCAAGTGGCTTTGTGGAGCTGCTGCCTTGTAGTGGGCCCATGAGCAAGAAATTAATAAAGTGATTACAGATTGGGCACCAGTGCTAAGATGGAAGGAGGTGTTTAGAGAAGGCTTCTTTAAGGAAATGACATTTAAAATAGATTTGACTGCGAGGGACAGGGAAGGGTGTTCCAGGTAGAGAGAACAGCCAATGCAAAGACCCCCAGCACTGGAGGCTGCTACGAAAGCAGCCCTGAGTGAGGGGACAGGTAGAAGGAACTCAGGCTGGATTTTATGCTAACAATGAGGTGCCACGGAAGAGTTTTCCACATGAGTAACAGATATAATTGACATTTCAGGAGATCACCATGTGTAGCACAGACTAGGTCAGGATATGGGATAGAGGAGATGAGGAGCTGAACAAAGGTGGTACAAGGAGAGGGCTGCTGCCCTCGCTGGGCACTACCTGTGCCCCAGGTACTGTGCTGGGGATTTTCCTCTCTCATTTCACTCTCACCACAGCCCAAGAGGTGGGAGCTGTGAGGGTCTCCATTTTATCGAGGAGGAAAACAAGTTTCAGTAACTTGCCCAAGGTCCCCCGGGAGTTACGTGGTAGACATGCCATTCACACCCCAGCGGCCCATCTCCAGAAGCCACTCCGCTTCCGGTCCCCCAGAGCGTGGCAGTTGGCCTTTTCTTCTTCCTATGAGAAAGTGATTGCTAAGGATCATCAAGGAGAGATGCCCCAGGCTCCCAGCCCCCAAACTTTGCCAGAGTGGAACTGTCATGAGGTCAGCGGACTGAGTAATGCAAGGGGAGAGGCTGTTTGCAGGCACTGAGCTGGAGCGAAAAGTGGGCTGTGGAAGCAGGTTTGGAAGTGAGGGAGAATGGGAGCTGGCGAGCAGCGGGGGGTCTGGCCCACTCCCCTGGGTGAGCTGTTTATGGAGCGGGTGTACAGGGGCTTCCTAGAATGACATTCTCTCCGTTCTCCTCCACCCCTCCCCAGATACTGAATTCCCCAAGGAAGTGAACAGTCTTCCCGTTTCTTTAGAAGTCCTAGCTGTCAGCACCAGGGGCTGCCCCACTTCCGCACCCCCCTCCTCTTTGAGGGTCCCCATTGTGTTACAATGTTACAAGCCCCGTGCCTCACCCAGGCTCTCCAACACCATAGACCCCCGGGTACCCAGGCTAGTTGCTTTCCTCTGTTATGGCTGCTAATTTGTACCCCCAACCCAGTGTCTCCTGGCCAAGCCAGGGACTCTCCGCCCACCAGTGTGAGCCTCCCCCGTGGCCGAGGAGACAAGGACTGGCCTTCCTCCACTCAGGTGTGGCTGGGTCTTTCTGGCATGTCTAGGCTTCTGTTTTGTTCCCCACTCTAGGACGGCATTTTATTTTTTCCAGCCACATCCCTTTCCACATTTCCTTCTGAACTGTTTGCGCCTTACCTCCAGCCACCACCGCAGACCTCTGCACCCAACGTGAAGGCTTGGGGAAGGCAGGTGGGCACCTCAAGAACAGTCACAGGGATGGCCTCAGCCATCCCAAGGAAAAGGAAGTTGCCAGCAACAACTGGAAGAGGAAAGATCATAAAGACTGAGGGCATCGCTTGACCTGTATCAGGAGGAAGGGGGGACCTGTGATAGCTTTGAAAATTTGCCCTTGCAGCCTGGGGAATGTGCCATGTAATTTTAGCATCTGAAGGTATTGGCGAAGCCGGAAAACTGACTTCTATCTTGCTTATCACACTTTAAGGAATATTAAAAATATATATGACAATATACTATAATATCTAATACAATATTTTATGTACATTTGCTTGGGGAGGGAACTTAGAGGTCATGCAATTCATCTCCCCGTCAGTTTGTATGTAATATACTTTAAAGTACGTGAGCATTGATAGCATGCCACGCAGGCGTGTACACAATTAAAGGCACGCAGGGAGGGCAGCTCTTTCGCCTTTGGAGTAACCTCAGGAATTCAGTCCAGAGGTGGTAATGCAGCGTTTCAAAGGTTTTATCAAAATTACACCGGAGAGTTGATTAGTGAACAAGAAGGATGTTTGAACTAAGTTTTGCCTGGTGCAGCAGCCACGTTGAAGCTCTGTGGCTGGCCAGCAGCCTTGCCTCTGTGCTAGTGCGGCAGAAGCACCCCCTGAGATAGCCTTGGGGTGGACCAGGACACAGCTGCTTCTCCAGAATGATCTTGCCTCTGTGTCTGCCTTTCACAGAAGCTGTGCATCCACATGTGTGAGGACAGAGACTGGGACTTTCCCAAGCTCACAGGCTCTTATTGTGCAGATTTGCCAACAAACATTTGTGTTTGGCTGGTAGAATTGCCCCAAGACTTGCTTTCTTTGAAACAGCCCACCTCATGGTGAGGTCTGGGGAAGGCGTGCCCATGGCCCCTCACTGCCTGAGGCTGCCATGTTTTCCAAAAGACCCAGATACTTGCTGACTGACCACATTGGCTAGGTCCAGTCATTCCACCTTCTCAGCTTGCAGAGGAGGAACTGAAGTTTAGTGTCGAGAGTCTGCCTCTAGAGCAGTGGCAGGAGACCAGGGCTGTTGGTGTAAGTGAGAGCTTCTCAAACCGTTTGGGATGGATGACCAACTTTTTCCCTTGTAAACTCTCATGGGTCAAAAATTCATAAATTATAATAGGTGAACTGAAAATTGTTTTAGCTTGGCTACTAGAATAGCGTACCATAGACTGGGTGGCTTGAACGACAGAAACATTTATTTCTCACAGTTCTGGAGGCTCTGGAATATGCCAAGATGAAGGTGTTGGCATATTCAGTATCTGGTGTCTGGTGTCTGATGAGGGCTCTCTTCCTAGCTTGTAGATGGCCACCTTCTAGTTGTGTCTTCATATGGTGGACAGAGAGAGAGAGAGAGAGAGAGAGAGAGAGAGCGCGCGCTCGCGTGCTCTGGTCCCTTCATCTTATAAGAGCACTAATCCCATCATGTGAGCTCTACCCTCAGGATCTCAACTGAACCCAATTATCTACATCCAAATACCATTGCCTTGGGGGTTGGGGCTTTAACATATAGACTTTAAGGGGACATAAACATTCAGTCACCAGCACTGAAAATAAAATATTAGTAATAAAAAAAACCATGTAAAACACAATCCCTTTCATTAAAGAGATTTTATTTTTAGAGCGGTTTTAAGATCACAGCAAAACTGAGCAAAAAGTACAGAGATTTCCCATGTGTCTCCTGCCCCCACACAGGTACAGACCCCCCTGCTATCAACCGCCGGAACCGGGGTGGTACGTCTGTTACATTGATGGACTACATCACCCAAAGTCCATAGTTTACATCAGGGTTCACTCTTGGCGTTGCACGTTCTAAGGGTTTGGACAAATGTATATTTTGTATCCATTATTGTAGTATCATACAGAGTAGTGCTCTGCCCTAAAAAATCCCCTGTGCCCTGTCTATTCATCCTTCGTTTCCCGCTAGCTCTTGGCAACCACTGAACTTTTTATTGTCTCCACGGTTTTGCATTTTCCAGAATGTCATATACCGTAGACCATATGACATTCTGGAAAATGCAAAACCATACACTGGTTAGAACCATACACTATGCAGCCTTTTCAGATGGTCTTCTTTCATTTAGTCATATGCATTTAAATTTTCTCCATGTTTTCTCATGACTTCATCCTTTATTCAAACCTCTTTAAAAATAATTCAATTCAACAGTGATAACAGGTCTCTATCAAGCGCATATGGCACAACACCTTCATAATCTGAACTTGCTCTTTTCAGGGACCAGGAACAAAGAGTTCTTGGCCAGGTCTGAGGCGCACTCTTTGAGTGCTGTTGGTCAGGCACCCGCTCTAGCCTGAGTTTCCCATTTTCACTGGAGCCCGTTCTGTGTGCTGGCCCTGGGAGCAGGGAGAAGACGGAGAGGGAACGCGGACAGACACCCTTCCTCTGCACGTCTGAGGGAGCCTGAGAGCTGAGGCTCCCTCACAGACACGTGCACCCTGCAAAGGTCCTGGCTTTGGTGAGTCCCTCAGGATTAGGGGGGAAATACGGCAGAGGGAAGAGGCAGCTGCTGCCTCCACCCAGCAGAGAGGACTTCAGAAGGCAGAACAAAGGAGCACATCTCCACCTCCTCTGCAGGCCGCATGAGGCAGGAGCAGAACAAAGAAGCAGGTGAGGCCAGGGGCCCCCGGACAAGGGCATCTTTGTTTACCAGGTTCTCCTCCGTGGGGCCTCTGCAAGGGAAGCCAAGTCTGGGGCCAAAAGGCACCATAATTATTCCATCTCTATCTCTGCAGGAACCTTCATCCTCCCATTCAGCAGGTATTTATTGTGCTGTGGAGTAGCAGGCAGCAGGCCAGGTGCTTCGGAGAGAATGCTGAGCAGGGAGAGGGGCACAAAAACAGTACAAATAATAAACGCGAAGTTACATTTCTCTTGCCCGCTGCCGCTGAACTGCCCCCAGGCCCCAAGGGGAGGAGGAGCCAGACGCTGTCTTGGACAGCTTTGAAGACCGAAGGGCCTTGGTCTCATTTATCAGAAGGCTGGTTTGAAGAGACCCCTCGCCCCTGAATGTGAAACAGGTCCTGGTGGGGACATGCCCCGTGGAGAAGCTCTGCAGACCTGCGTTTGTGGCCACGGGCGGTCACCATCTTGGGGACTGTGAAAGAACAAGTATTCACGGCACCTGTTAAAACTGGTAAGAAAGACTTTATTCAAGAAGGAAGTACTACAGTGGGGTTTTGCAGGAGGGGCGAGAGAATGGGTTCAACTCTGAGTGCAAGGACAAATGGAGATTTATCGCCAAGGAGCGGGGAGGGGGGTCAGTGGATGGCGACTGGC